TTACAGTGTGTGTGTGACACTGAACTGACACCTCTCTTCTTGTATAAATATTTTTCCATGTCTGAAAGACAAAACAAGTACCTTAATAAATGGGAATAAATGTAGCTGTTTTTAAGTCATAAAGAACACCTTTTTTTCTTTTTTTTTTTCTTGTGATTGGGACAATTTTTCTCAGGAGGTAATTTTTCCTCTCCAAAACATGTATATGAATAACATGAACTTCTGTTGATGAGATGCTGGGTGCTTAAAGGCTGCTGAATATCTCTAACTGATTTTTAGGAGGGTTTGGGAATATTCTGTTCTCCTGAACGTACAGGAATGTCTGTTGCTGCCATTCTCTTAAGTCAGGGTGAAAACACAGATCTCAAGTTATGCTTTAGTTTCTGATCTCTTGTTTGGTCTTGGTAGGCATCTGCACCTTCACAGAATCCCAGAATCACATGGGGTTGGTAGGGGCCTCTGGAGATCATCTAGTCCAACCCCCTGCCAAAGCAGGGCCACCCAGAGCAGGTCCCACAGGAATGTATCCAGGTAGGTTTGAATGTCTCCAGAGAAGGAGACTCCACCACCTCCCAGGCTCTGCCACCCTAAGAGTGAAGAAGTTCCTCCTCATGTTTAGGTGGAACTTCTTCTATTCAAGTTTGTGCCCATTTCCTCTTGTCCTGTCCCTGGGCACCACTGAAAAAAGACCAGCCCCATCCTCTTGACACCCTCCCTTTAAGTATTTCTAAGCATTGATCAGATCCCCCCTCAGCCTTCTCTTCTCCAGACTAAAAGACCCAAGTCCCTCAGCCTCTCCTCTTAAGGGAGATGCTCCAGGCCCCTCATCATCTCTGTAGCCTCTGCTGTCCCCTCTCCAGCAGTTCCCTGTCCTTCTGGAACTGGGGAGCCCAGAACTGGTCCCAGTGCTCCAGATGGGGCCTCCCCAGGGCAGAGCAGAGGGGCAGGATGACCTCCCTCGACCTGCTGGGCACACTCTTCCTGATGCATCTTGGCGAAGAGGATGTGAGGTACAAGCCTTTTCATTGAGCACCAACACAAGCTTTTGCAGAGGAACCCAGCACTGGCAAATTGTGTTTTCCACATCTTGCAAAACAGGAGATGCAGCAAGCTTTTTTCCTTGCTAGCCTGAATGCGGTGGCAGCATGGTGAGTTATTTCTGGTTAGCTGTGTGGACACGGTTGGTCCACACAAAGTGTCCATGAATCATGGCCAGCAGCATTTATGGAGGTGGCTCAAGAGGTGCAGGACCTCTGAGAATCAGGCTCTGTCTTCACGACCAACCTTGCAGAGAGGGAGGAATGACAGCAGGTAGCATTAAGGACTTCCAAATAAAACAAACCAACCCCAAACACCAGGATGGCTTTAAATTCCTTGTCAAATGCCTGATAAATGGCATTAAGGGGAACTGAAACCGCTTGAGTGGCTCATTTAATTCTTCCCCGTCTCCAGAACATTTGCCTTAAAATGTTGTAACACTAATAAAATGGAAACTTCGTTTTTTAATAGGCATAAAATTATCTAACCGGTCCACCAAATTTACAGATTCCACCCACAATTTCTCTTGTTTACTTGGTGTCAGAGTATATGGAGAATGAGAAAATACCCCAAAAGGCCAGGGGTTTCTTAGAAAAGCTGCAATATGAGGGCAAGGCAAGGGAAAGAGAAGTAGTTTCATTTGAAGGAGCTGATGAATCAGAGATAAAAATGAGACACTTGTCAAAAGGTTTAAATTAAAGGTAGAGAAGGGTGTAAAAAAGATGGCTGCGGTTTTTTGGAGTACAGGTGTGCTAGAGCCAGCGACGCGAATGGTTCCGGCCCTGTTGGAGGGGAATCTGGCGAGATGCAGAGCTGCTGTTTCTAGTGTAAAGCCAAGGGACCTGGTAGAAGAGACAGATTTATACTTGAGCTGATGTGGTGCTGGTTCTTACCGTGAATTGCAACTCCAATAGTTAGTAGAGGTCTTCCTTCAAGAAAGAAGCAAAGAAAACAAAGAAAGAAGGAAAAAAAAACCCACAACCGAACTGTAAAGAAACCAAACAAAACCAAAATAAAACCAAGGGATCCTCATTGCATTGACTGGAGTTGTCAATACCCAGCTTTGAGCCTCACAACTTGCAGGAGTTTGGAGCGAATCTTGCTAAGACCCAAGCACCAAGAAATCCCAAGATTCAATGTATAATCCCATGATTCACAAAGTTGAGCTCGTGGGCTGGTTTGCTGGGAATGGAGTAATGCATGATTACATGGATTTCAAGGTTATAGATGCATCTTCTTTTACACATCTCCTTTTCTGGGTCACTTCTTGTGTGTCACTTCTTGTGTGTCACTTAGTGTCCCCTGGGCCTTTAATTTTTCTGGAAAGAAGTATGACAACACTGAAGGGACCAAGAAGTTGTTGTGAAAGTTGCAAAAAAGTATGAGCAGAAGAACAGAAACCAGAGCTTTAATGATGAGTGCTTTTTACTTCTTTCTCCCCTTAAAATGTTCAGAGCATGATGTCTGACTTTAATTGTTGGTTGAAGAGGTATTAGGTTTTTTCTAAGATTTTTAGTCCAAGTTTCCCTCATCCCTTAAGTGTGCTGGAGGGGGAATCTGCTTATTTAACCCTGGGGTGATAAAAGGAAGCTTGAAATGCGAAATGCTGGACGCAGTTTTACTGCCCATATGAAATGAGTGTGAAAAGGAGAGGAGGTTGAGTTTTTCTGGTTTTGGTGGGGTTTTTTGGTAAGAGCCCTCTTTTTGCACATTGTGTTAAATACTGCATAGTATTTAAGCTTTTATTTGGGAGTTTTTCATTTGGTGTTCTGTTGTTTCCCCCCGCCCCGGGGTGGCACTGACAACTTGATCTCATCTTTGTTTGAAGTTTATGTGCTTGGTAGGCTCAGTGCTTTGCCATCACCTGCTCCAGGGATGCGCAAGAGGGTTTCAGGACCTGCTAGAATTGGGGGGAAAAAGCCCATACCAGCACCCTGCATTCCCCACTCAACCCCTTGTATCAAGGTGCTTTTACTCTCTTTGGTGGTATTCCAGAAGGCAGCAATGCACCCGGGCTTCCAGACCAAGTTGTTGTACTCTCTTTGGTGGTATTCCAGAAGGCAGCATGCACCCGGGCTTCCAGACCAAGTTTTGAAATACTGTTTATGAACCTGCAGCTTTCTGGGTTGCCATGTTTTCACTGCTGCTTTCTCTGTCCAAGTTCTTGCATAAAACAGAAATGGCCGCAAGGACATGTTTGGCCATTCAAAGCAGATGCTTCCTTACAGCCAGAAAGAAAGAAAACACGTGCAGATGAACCCTAAGTGTGTCTGTTCCTCCTCCCGCTTCCAGTTCCTCTTAATTTCAGATCGTGATTTTGAAACATCTCTTTGATCCGTTGCTGTTATTCTATGTAACGTGGCCAGGGCTGTCCCTCCAGCCAGAGAGACTATCGATTTAGGCCAGTGCAATTGCTTTTTGAAAGGCACATTGAGCCTAGTAAAGGATTTTTGTTGAAAGTGAAGATTTGGATGATGATCAAAAGTCTCTCCTGGAAGACTGCCCACTCACACGGTCCAAGCTACCTGTGATATCCCAGCCAAGCCACCTCTCTGTAATTCGCAAGGGTGAGGACAACAAAGTTACCCTTTTTGTTAATAAAATTGTTTTTTTGTGTATATGATAAAACTAGTCACTTGCTGTGATAACAGTCATCTTTCAACTAGAACACAGGAGAACGTCCCAGCCCTCTGGATTGTCTGTTATCCCACAAAACAGCCTGATGAGCAAGCGTATCAGCTCTTATTAATCTTTCCATAAAATTAAAGAAATCGTGGAGCTTAAGGCAGTCACAAATGAATCAATTTTAATTTATGGGCTCAAATAAAATCCTCATTAAGGCTGACAAACTATAGCCTCAGGTAAACATGAAGCATTTTCACTGCAGTGCTAAATGAGTTCTGCACTGGATGTCGCAGCTTCTGCCAGAGGAGCAGGAGGGTCTAGAGAAAGTAAGTGGTATGACCCTTAGGAGGTCTCCTTTTGGCATGAAAAAAATCAAAGACTAATTTATCTCTTTTTTTTTTTCTTTTTTTTTTTTTTTTTTCCTTAAACAAACAAACAGAGGATTTTTCTCCCCACAGTTTGCTAAGTGTGTTTGAGTCCCCAAAATATACAAAAGTTGCACATGGAGGTGCTTGTACCGAGAACTACATCTGCTGCTGGAAAAAACCCACATCATCTCAGGAGATGCATCTGTGCTGGGCAGAATGATTGAATAAAACTTAGCCATTTATAACTAATGCAATTGTGCTGGCTGTGTATGAAAAACTACTCTTTTGGTTTCCAGACAGCTCATTTGGTGATTTATTTATTTTTTCCACTCAAGTGTTGCTGTTTCTAGTGTTTGCTTTGCATTAAACAGCATTATTCAAGATGACTGCTTTTGTGGGAACTCTTTATAAATATTTTGTAAAATGTATTTCTTATGCCTGCTATAAAATAAACAATGCTTATTTTTGCCACAAATGTTGTTGGTTTAGGCTTTGCATTCTGGTTGCTGGGGATCCTGGTATTTAAGGTTAGTTGAGGTCACTTTGATGGAATTTGGGTTTCAAGCATTAGAGGACTGCGTACCTGTAATAATTATTTTATTTAATTTTATTTTAAAAAAAAGTCTTCCTCTCAATTTGTTTTTAAAGAAATCCCTCCTGGTGCTGTAAGAACTGCTCAGAGGGGAAGGAGTTATGCCAACGTGTCTCTTCTCTGTTGGCAATGAGCTGATGGACACATCCTGCTCAGAGGGGAAGGAGTTATGCCAACGTCTCTTCTCTGTTGGCAATGAGTTGATGGACACATAAGTTGTTTGCCATCAGCCTTTGCACACTCTCTGGAGAGATTCCCCAGCTGGTGCTGGAGTCCCGTTGCATCTCCACTCCTGTGGATACTGGAAAGGGCGCTTGACCTCTCGACCTGTACTTCTATCTGGACAATTTTCTGACTCTTCTTTTCTTGCTTTTCAGATGCAGCAATCGGACCCAATGTGCAGTTGTTGCTGGCCCTGATGTGTTTCCAGACCCTTGCCCCGGGACGTACAAGTACCTGGAAGTGCAGTATGAATGTGTCCCTTACAGTACGTATCTTGATATATCTGTGTTTGTTTCCTTAATAGAGATCTGATTTATTGTGGAGACTGGGCCAGCCTTGAGCTTGTCTCTTGTTGCCCAAGGGCAAGTAAACGCTCAGTGACAAACCACGTGCGTCATACGAGACTGAGCTGATAACATGAAAAATTGTCCTCTGTGCAAGATCTGTGCTTAGCTTAAAAATATCCTAATAGTGCCCCGTGTTTTCCTTGTTGTACCGTGTAACACTGACATACCATCTTTTGTAAAGCACTTGGGAAGCCCTGTTAGTGAAAGCAGAGCAGAAGAATGAAGCACTATTGCGAGCTTATAGCTTCATTTTGCAGAGTTTTATGTTTGTAATTGTATAGCAGTGCGCCTTGACCGACCTATGTCCGTGTAATTGGTGACATTTGATAAGTGCCTTAAACACAGTATTCTATTGCCGAGGAGGTAGAAAGCTAATGTTTTGGGAAATGTGATGTTCGATGGTAGAAAATACTAATTTGTAAGCTTCCAAAGTTATGAAGGCAAATTACAGGCGAGCTATTTAGCCTGAATTTTTGAGGGTAGAAAAACAGTCATCTGGGATTACAGCAGTACGTGCGGAATAGGAGCTACAAAAAGTTAAGTGTACCTCAGAATTTGCTTTAGAAACCAAATTTGTTACACACAGTTACAGTCCTGCTGTCAAAAATGGCATACCTCAAAAAAAGAAATAAAACCAAGAATACTAGGAGTGCACTTTTTATTAGCAGTCATAAAGGAGTGAGCGGTGAAAAACGGGACTATTTCTAGGTTTTCGGTTTGAGCAGGCCAAAGCTCATAGCACACCACTCAAAATAAGAAAGCAAGGATGGGAAGGAACACTTTGGAGCCATGGAGATGTGCTGAGAGAGCATCGGGACACTTCAATTTGCTGAAAGCCAGGGTTTGGCTTGAGGATGAAGAGCATCTTCCTCATTGCCTGGAGCACGGGCTGCAGGAGAGCAAACGTGGCTGAGAAAGGGGAAGCCAGAACTCAGAAGCCCTCGGTGGTCCCTGTCCCTCATGCAGGAGGCCTCAGACCACCTCTCTGGGCAAAGGGGACCCTCTCCACTGAGGGACTCTGTCTCTCTGTTGCTGGGAGGCTCGGTGTGTCCATATTCGATTTTCTAACCGAAAATGTGAAGCTTCTAACTGTAGTGATGTAATATGCTTTATGGGGTATGAAAAGAGTGACATCAGGGGCTTAAGGCCTGCCCTAGCGAGCTCGTAATGAATTACCAGTTTGGAGTTTTTCTGCTCTAAGTGAGGTCTTTCCTTTCACCGACGACACTGTGCGTGGGGAGGGGAGATCAGCTTCTGTTTTTCACAGCAGGTTGTATTTCCTTGGGGTTTGTGATTTACAGGAGGTACTGGTCCCTCCCGAGACAGGGCTGGTAAAGCAAGAGTCGTTACCCGGTACCCCTCCACGGCCTTTGTTGCGTACAAAACAAAGAGGAATAGTGGTGCCTTGTGAGAAAGGCAATATGTGGATATTGTGCCCTGAGGTGTTCATCGGGCCTGTGTACAAGATGTAAAATAGCTCTTGTGAGAGAGCTGGGACTGAGTCTATTTTAATGGTCTGAACGCAGGGAGGAAAACGACGACAACAAGGCCCACTGCCTTTGCAATTAAGTTGGTAGCTTTGATGGGTGTTTCCTCTGTGTGTTTATGAATGAAATATAGTGCCCCTGCAACTGGAGTTATGGGGGAGGAAACAAGGGGAACATTGTAAAATAAGATCACATCTCTGGGGCTTTTTGGTTTGCATTGACTAGGAAATTTTGGGTCAAACCTTCCTGCCTTGTTATTTAGCTGGTGGTGTTCAGGCAAACTATGTCCCTTCATCTGCAGATGTGGAGTGGGAAACCTAGGCTCCTTGTTCCTCTTCTACCTCAGTCTCTGCCTGGGTTTTTTACCACCTCCACTTCTTCCCTTCAAAAATGGTCAGCTCAACCATGCAAGAGTGCCCAAGATCGTTGGTTTGTTTCTGTTTGAGGGTGGGTGTTGTGTGGTTTTGGGTGTGGGTGTGGGGGTTTTTTGTGGTTTTGGTTTTGGTTTTTTTTTTGTGGTTGGACTCAATGATCTCAATGGTCCCTTCCAACCACGAATGTTCTATGATTTTGTGATTCTGTGAGATGTTCCTTGGCTGGGCCCCAGGAGTGCCCCGCTAATGGAAGCCACCCAAGCGATGGGGAAAGGTGTCATCTCTGGACAAGGAGGTCATCAAAGGTACAGTTGGACCAAAGCTATGCCTGGTGGATGAAATCTGTTGCCCCTCGAAGCCCTTGGTGATGCCTCTGCCACTTGCTGTGGGCCATTTGGCCCCCTTGGGTTCTTGTCCTGGGGCCAACATGCTGCAGCCCCCTCAGCCCAACGTGGACTGGTGTGTGGGTCTCTGCAGGCGCTGCTTGCTGCTGGGGAAACACTCCCTCAGCTGCTGGCATTGACCCGTGGCTTCACGCACCGAGACCTTGGTGAATGGTGGTGTCTCTGCCTTATGGCCATCTCCTAAGGAAACGCAGCAGTTGCGTAACAAAGGAATTAATATTTCAGCAGGCACTTGTGTGCTGTTCCAGTGGGCCTCGTCTGCTTGGAGGGGCTGCTCTTTACAGTTTCAAATTCTTCTTTATGGGCAGAGAGACCGTTTAACCAAGCGGGGGCTCAGCGGCAGGGGGGAGCGCGCGTGCGTCTCAGGAGAGCAGTGTTTGGAAGTCATCTTTAACAGATGTTGCTAGGGCTGACCCTCAGGCACTCATGCTCAATATAGTGGTAGTGCATATGCTCCCGAAGAGAAAAATTACAGAAGATTTAAAACTCCATTGGGTAGCCTGTTCCTCTTGTGATTTATTTTTTTTTATTTTTTTTTTTAACTCTTCCACCACATTTTCAAGAGGAAAGCATCCCCCTTTCCTCTCAGGAGGGGAAAAAAAAAAAATCCCTCTTCTAACTTCAGTAGCTCATATATTTTAAAATGTCCTTTGTATTACCCTCCGCTCTGCATTCCTGTGTGTTCACTAGAGATACTCCTGACAAGGAGAGTTTCATGAGGCTGCAGTTACTCTTGGCGTGTGGGGAAGACAACAGTTGATCACACAGATAGCCCCGTCCTCCCCTCATTTTCCTGATCCTGTAGTCAGTTTACGTGATGGCAGATGCTATCTACAAAAATGATCAGTCATTCCAAGGACCCTGGACTTTTTTTATTGCTCTCTGACAATGAAAAGGAAGTGAAAAGCAAGTGATTTCAGCAGGTGAAAAGATACCAGGCCTAATTTGACAGGCTTCAGTGGCATCAGTTGCTCAATTTTTCTGGTTTCAGAAAAAGGCACCAAATGAATTTTGTCTTTCTCAAAGCAGGCCTTGGTATGTGGCATTTATTTCTCTGAAACCTGCTTGAAATACTGCCCCTTTTCTTCCAAAATACTGAAACTACTACTCCAGTTTTCTTAAATGGAATTTTCTTTTAATCATTACTGACCACGAGAGCTTTCCTATGGTTTTCTCTTAAATATGTTCAAGTGCAGACCTGCAGCTTGCCGTTGCCAGAGCTGTGGACACAGGGCACGTTGTGGAGAGGTGTCAGAAAGTGCATTTTAGGCTGTGTTACGCTGTGTGTAAGTATGAGAAACCCCAGTTTGCGAGTGTCCCTTTGTTCCAGCACTCATTTGCTATTTCCTAGTGCAACCCTTCCCTCTACCTTTTCTGTACCTACTGACACTGCAGTGTCAAACGGGCAATAGGAACAGCTGTGGGGGGAGGTGGTTTTATGAAGCTAGACCAGCACTCTCATTGCAGAAGAGCTTCCTCATCTTCTTCTGGTGCTTCTACAGTCCTGTTGCCATGGTCCTGGTACAATGTAATTTTTCTTATTTCACCTTTGGAAAATGGGGCTTCCCATTTTACTCATGAACCAGCACAGAAAGCAGATAAGCAATTTATCCGACGCTGTACACAAGACTGGGGACAAGCAAGAAAGTCCTATTTTGCAAGACCAGTGGTGATGGGAGAGCTGCTGGGCTAGTTGTCACGGTAAGCAGCCAGATTTGCTATTGGTAATCTGATAAATCCAAAGCAACACGTTGGTTTTCCCTATGCAAATGCAGGCTTTGTATGCGCCTAACACTTTACAGCTCAAATAATTTATGCTTTAATAATCCTGCCTGTATTTCTGAGCTGGATGAAGAGAAAGAACAACCCATTTGAGGCTGACGAGCCTCCTGCCCTTTGCTGTCTCGAGCACATGAGCTCTGTGGGCCACAGCAGCAGCACTGCCCTTTTGGGGTGGCATCTCAAGCGAGAACAGGGGGAGATTTTCCAAGATGTGAGCAACTATCTCCCACTGGCCTTGAAATTTAGGAATTGTCTGGATTTATATTTTATTTCAGTTTCAAAAAAAAAAGTGCGTGTTGAGAGTGCGGAGGTATTTTGGAGTGCTTTTTCTGTTCATTTCCCCTAGAGGCTGCCAAGGATCTAACATGACATTGGAAAGATAATTTAGCTAGCTGAGTCAAACTTACTTTCAGTTTTTCCTGAGCTCTCAATTCCTTTGGGTTCTAGGTTCTGGAGTTCACAGAATAACCTGTGCACTGTTGTCCTTCAGAAACAGTCTGTTTTTTAATGGCGACTTGGAAAATTTAAGATACAGGGCAGGACAAAGTGGATAAAAGGCAAGGACTCAATGAGGACAAGCCAGTTGCTGCATTGATGGACAGGGTGGCAGCAGCAGGAGATGGGTACCTCAGGCTTGGTGTACACCAATGTGATGATAACTTGTCTCACACCCACGTGACAAGTCTTCAAATAGATTTTAATACTGGGGAGATCTGTTCCAAGGGCTGTTTCCTGCAAGGAGAAAAGGTTTGTGATTTCCGAGGAAGGTCAAATCATCCTTCCTTTCCGTTCTTCTGGGTAAATGGGCTAATAACTGGTACGAAAGCACCAAATACCTTTGATGCTTACAGAGATTTTTGTGCTTCTTTAA